GCTCCATCAACAAATCAACAAACGACATGTGCTGGCCAGGGTGTGGAGAAAGGGGAGCCCTGGTGCACTGCTGGTGGGAATGCAGACTGGTGCAGCCACTATGGAAAACAGGATGGACTTTCCTCAAAAAATTAAAAATGAAGCTGCCTTTTGACCCAATGATCCCACTTCTAGGAATATAGTCTAAGAATCCTGAAACATAAATCAGAAAGAATATATGAAGGCTGATTTCTTGAGACATGAACTCAGGGGATAAAAGTTTGAGCTTCTCAAAATTGAGCCTGGAGGACTTTGCATAAAAAAGAAGCTTAGGGTGATGCAAGGACAGTAAGCCCACTACAGGGCAGGACATGACAGCTACTTTTTGAGGAAAAGACTACAGCAGCTCGGAGAAGACAGTGAGTCAGGAAACTGCTGATGGGCAACAGGAGAGTGACAAGCGTGACCTGGCCCCTGGGATGGGGAGTGCAGAACCTAGGAGAGAAACTAGCAGGAGACAGGGTGGGTGATGCTCACAAAAATAAAGAGAGGAGGTGCATCCACAGCAAAAGCTGTGGAGACACTTACCCACGGGGGGACCCATGCCCCTGCAGTGCCTTGGTGCTGCCCAAAGATGTGAGGCAGGGTACAGTATTTGAATTGACAATTCCGTTAATCAAAAATCTCCACGGCCAAAAGTTTTTCTAAAAGAAAGGGTTTATTGAGCCATATGCTATCCAGAAAAAGGTCCAGGTCCTGGGACATGCAGTCTGGGCTAGATGCGAACATGTCCCCCCATCTGAGGGCAGATGGGCCTCTTTGATGCAAACAGTTTGGGGAAGAAAAATGTAAGTTGTTTTGTAAGAACTAGTTCTGGGATAGGTGCAGAGTCCATAAGGAACAGGGAATGGTATGGGTGCGCTCCCCTGGGGTCTTAAAGGCTGGGCATTTAGGGGAGGTCTTAAGGGATGATCTGAATAGAATATTCATCCACTTTATGCTGATGTACCAAAATGAGGTTATTTCTTTTAACTTCAGCTGTCCTTGGGTGTGGTTGGCAAATGGCACTATTGGAATTCTGCTGTCTCCCTGAGAAGGGTGATTTAAGCTATTTACCCTCTGGTTGGGAAGGAGAAGTGCAAACCATTTACTCTTACATGTCCCTGGCTTAAGGAAGACAGGATTTACTGGGTGGCTGCAAAATTGTTTGGCATCTAGATTTTCTTGATGGCTACAAACTGCTGTTTAACATCTCAGTTTCCCTATTTCGCTCATCCTGGCTTACCTACCTGTCTCAACACCATGAGAAAAGTAAGCCAGACAAATAAAGAATATAGAGCATTCTATAAGACACCTTGCCTGGGCATTTTAAACAGTGACGTACTTTTTTTTTTTAATGTTTTTGAGATGGACAAAGCTATTCTAGGCAGAACGTTATTAAAGAGATATAACAGTCAAATAAAATACATGAAACTTGATTGGACCTTTGGGACAAATGGGGAAATTTGGATATGGATTAATATTTGATGGTATTATAGAGCTACTGTTAATTTTACTGGATATGGTACTTTTCTTTTGGTTATGTATGATAACTTCCTTCTTCAAAGGTGAGTGCTGGGTACATGCAGTGTGTCAAATCTACAAACTTACTTTTAAGTGGTTCTCCAAAAGAAAGGAGAAAATAGAAAGCAAATATAGTGAAATGTGAACAATTTTGTTTGGTCTAAGCATAGGTCCCTGGAACACTTACGTACTATTTCTTCAAGTTCTATTGTGTTGGAAATTTTTCATAATAAAACTTTGAGGAAAATAATGTATCCCAGTCATCAAGTTTAGATGGGTCAGCAACCAAGTTTCACATTTTCCTAACTGAGCTAAAAATAAAAAATAAAAGTATTTCTGTTCTCATGTAGATTTCAGTATACCCACAGGAGAGCTGACGGTAATGGCAGCTTTATGCCTGTAAATTACTTTACACACCTGCGTCACAGTCACACCTTTACTCCAGACCAGTGTGGGTGTTGAAAATACAGGATTCATTTCACATGTTGCAGTAATGTTGGGTGAAAGCCAGGAACTTTTCATGGTTGACACCCACAGAGATAACTTAAGATGTGGGAGGACACATGGAACTGAAATCATACAAAAGCCAGCTTCTAGCAACCAGCATGACCTGTTTGCTTCATTTCGTCTGAGGACTCTTGAGCCCTGGGAGTGCAGCATTTCTGAAGGTAAGATTGAGAGTGAAAGGCAAGAAGGGGCAGGGGGGAGGAGACATGTTTGTGGGCCCCACTGGGCCCAGGTGAACGCATGGATTTGGCCTCGAGGCAGGGACCTGCACTCACCAACAGCTCACAAGAAGAATGGGACTGAGGTAAACTCCTGAGCAAACTACTCTCCCAAGGTCTCCTCAGCAATCCCACAGTTGAGGAAAGCTCTAAAAAGCAGAAAAAAGCCTTCTGACTGGCTGCAAACTCAATGTCATTATCAGAGTTTCTTGTGCCAATGATAGAAATCAAAATTTGCAATTTACGAAGTGCTTTATTATATTTGTTGTTTTGATATTTTTAACATTCCTAAGAGTCAGATATTTCTACAACACTCTCACAGCCATCCTTTAACCTGAAGTGCACAGGGCACGCTTGCAAATGAAAGGAGGTCCTTGTGATTTGAAGCCCAGTGTACTCAGGGTTCTTCATGTGTAGTGGTCAACAGAGCAGGAGTTCAGGAATCCCACTTCTGCCTAAGTACTGTGCACCCCTTGACAAATTTTGTACCTACCTGAATCTCATACTTATCCCACAGGGCAATTTTGAGGATTAAATAAAACAAGGCATGGAAGTCACGTCCTTCAATTGAGTACTTAATAAATGCTTGCTTAATAATGCATAGTGATGTTTTTCTACCTGCCTGGTTTCCATAACTGCCCAAGAACCCACCTGGGAGCCATGTCTTTTCTGGCCAGCACTTTCTATATCCAGGGCTTATATGTACCTTTCTCCTCTGTTCCACAATTGAATGCTTTCAGCAGCCTGAGCCATAAGTCTCTTAATTCAGGGAACCTTTAAACAATGAATGGCTGGGGAAACATCAAACTCCTGTCCTCAGAATAGTCCCAAAATGGAACAATGTATTGCTAAAATTTAATAATTTTTATAGAAAGCTACTTAAATTTCTTTCAAGATAAATCATCTCCTTTGAGAATAAACATTCTCTATAAAAAAAAAAAAAAAAGAGGAAATTCACAGTCTTCTCTTGTTCTTCACATAAAAAGCCTAAAACCCTAAATACCTTCTCCATCCCACTTGTATTTATTTTTAATAGATGATAAGATATCATTTGTTTTCATAAAAACAATACACTACATGTTGCCAGGATTGTGCTTGAGCCAGAAACATGTACATAAGCTTGGAGAAGAGAGTGAATTTTCCATCACTTGATGTCTTTTTTACAAACTGGAAATGTGCATTAACTCTTAATGGAAGTCCCTAAAATTTTCCAAGGAGAATACCATTAAGGATATGGTCAATATTCTTTTTTCTTTTTTTTTTAATATGTATAACTTTTATTTTTGTTTAAAGTGGTTAATATTTTTAATGAATCCAAATAAATTCATGAAAGAGATCTGTAATGCCCTTTTTCCTTGCTCTGTCCTGGAGTCACGTTTCCCCAGGATTTTTCTTCCCTCCTGAAATCCAGTTAAATATTTATAATGGTGTTCTGGCAATAATACTCTTTTTCTGTCTATCTCAGTTAGGATTCCTGGCAGGTCAGGACTAACAGCAAGATGAAGGCAGCCTGGGTCCTTTGGTGTCCTCACTTTAGTCTTCAGGACGTCTCAAAATTAACTCCTGACTAATATGAAATACATAATGCAAAGATCATTCTTTTTATCAGACTCACTGTTTGCCTTTTTTCTTTCTTTCTTTTTGCTATATATCTTAGCATTTGAGAGCTCGGAAAGTGAAGTCACCATGTGGGTTCAAATTCTATCCTCACTGTTATTAACCTTGTGACCATGGGCTAGTTTGCTTAGCTTCTTAGTAACTCTGTTCTTAACTATAGAACAGGGCAAACCTTGCAAGAGTCAAATGCACACAAAGCATTTAGAACCTGCCTGATTTGGAGCAAGTTTCCATATGTATTGCTGTATTATTATTATTATTTCCTCAAGCAGCTGTGGTCTGTTTTAATGTGGGTTCTATGGATATCAGCATCTAATTTCTACATGAAACGATTGTGTAGGAATGTTCAAGTGTAACAGAATATGATTATCGAAAATCAAGGATGTGTCACCAGAAACAAAAAATGCTGTATTATTTTTTGTTAAAAGTAGGTCTGGGAAAAATACACATTAGCTCCGAGAAAAGCCTATTCTAATGGTAAAGGCCTGGACTACAATCAGGAGACCTCCACCCTTGATCCTAATGTTACTTTGAATAAAGCTATTCAGTACTTCTTGCCTCAGGTCTCCACTATAAAATAGTAATAATCGTACCTGGCTTGACTCTCTCAGAGGCACACTGTAAGGTGAAGACATACAAAAGCTTTTGTTATGTTGTGATGTTATTTTATATTATTGAACATCTGCTGATGAAAAGCAAATTTCTAGTAGATATGAGGTCATCAAATGAGATCATATAATAGAAAAATGACTAGACTGAGAATCCAAAATCTTGGTTTACTAGTCACATAATGTTTGGCAAGTCAAGACTCAAAGGCCCTATGTCTTTAACTATAAAGCTGACCTACCTATAGGTCAGGTTAGATTATGTGTAAGAAAGTGCCCTATAGATTGAAAAGACTCTTGTTAACATAAAATATTTTATACTCATTATTTATATAATTTTAAAATTCAGTGATTTTAGCAGTTGTTAAAATACTTATTTTAGATAATTAATGTCTCAAGGGTAAATCCTCTTGTACTAAATAAGTCATGTATATTGCAATTGTGATAATGTAATGACTTTATTAAGTTACCTTTTTTCTTATTAGGACATTCCTTTCTTCAGTGAATCAACATGGATGTAATTTTGGACACCATGATTTTTTGCGGAAAAATTTTATATTATTTTTTAGAAACCACAGTTTACAAGATAATTCCCAAGAAGAAAAAAGATGTTGCTGGAGAGATTGTACTTATAACAGGAGCTGGAAGTGGAATTGGGAGGCTAATGGCCATAAAATTTGCCAGCCTTGGAGCCATTTTAGTTATATGGGACATTAATGAAGAAGGCAATATGGAAACATGTAGACTGGCCAAAGAAAAGGGTGGTGAGAAAGTATTTCCCTATAAGTGTGACTGCAGCAACAGGGAAGAGGTCTACAGAGTTGCTGATCAGGTAAGCTAATTGGTGTCCTTAGATTGCATGGCCTGGAAAAAATAACGCTTTTAATACGTGCTTTTACAAAGAAGTGAGGAGAAAAGTTTGTCGTGGACTTCTCCCAAGATCTCTGTGTGCCTCTTGCATGTTAGGAATCTGACTTTGTAGCCTCCACAAAGGAGCATAGAATAAAACAATACACATGGGAATTTTTTTTTTTTACACGTGGGAATTTAATGAGCCTTCTGAGTTGTTGCCCACTGAGTTTTTTTTGGCAACTCATTTACCATCAGGGGTTAGCAGAAACTAGGACTAGTCCTGGCTCTGTTGCTCATTGGTTGTGCAATGTTTACCAACTTACCTGCCCTCTCTAGGTCTTGGATAGGATGACAGTGACCATTAGGTTTTTCTTAAATATCCAAGAATATCTTACATCAAAGGTTCCATCTCCTTCTCAGGCCCATGTTCCTTCCCCTCAATTAGTCTAAAACAAAGCACTTGCTCCCTTTGATCCTCTCATCAAGTCAATGGGATGTTCTTCTCTAAAAGTTAGGCTCTCCTGGATGTTTTACTCTGTCTGGCTTCTTCCCAAAGTAAGGGAGTCTGATCCCTCAGCCCAAGGTCAGCTCAGCAATATTAACCTGTCTTTCAAAACTTGTCCAACTTAACTACATCAGGAGCAACATTTACCTACTATCTCCCAATTATATAATTGGGAAGGCTCAACATGAAGCAGTGCATGGCCCAGGACTTAGAAAACCAAGCCAAGGCAGGCAGTGCTTTCTGTTCAAAAACAAAGAAACAGATTGCTGTGTCAGCACAAAAGAACCAGTTCAGGGCAAAAAGTAAGTCTTCAAATGGTTGTTTAAACGTGCATCATGCTTTGCCCCTGGGCCAGCTTTATCGTTGTCACCTACAAAGCCATAATTTGAGACAAAACTGTGAAAGAGAGAAAACTAGTCCCTGTGGTGTTTCTGGAACACACTTGCCTGAGTAGGAGGGTGGTATATTGTGGATTGTGCAAGCAGGTGAGGTGGGCAATGCAGAAGGGAAGGCTGAAGGAAAATGCTGTAGCACAGCTGTGGACCTCAGGGAAACATCAGCCACAGGCAGGAATTAGATCTGGGGAGGTCTTTTGGACAGAAGTGCACAGGCTCACAGAGGTCTCTGGGCAGTGGGCCAAACACATCTGTGTTTGGGATGCCTTCGTGCCAAGCACTGGCCAGGCTCTAGGAGGATGGGATATGTTTCTGCTACCCTACTCACAGAAGAGTCAGGAAGAAGACACGTACAGAAGTAACTATCAGACACATCATGCTGAGGGGAAACCTAACTGCCAACTAAAGGAAGGCATTTGGAAGCATTCAGAAAGACAGAATCAGGCATCACTCATACAACACCCTCAGCAGTAGCAACCGCAGGAAAGGGCTAGTAGCACAACAGAAATAGGAAGTAGAGAATAGATGTAATATTAGGTCATCTCTACACAAAAAAGCAAGGCTCTTTAAGCAAAATCGATAAACCACAGTGGTTTTGTTAATATAATTGATCATAAAGTTACTTTAAAATTGCTGGTGTTCCACGTGCAAGATCAAACACTTAGTTTTAAAGAAACTACCTGAATAAAATGAGAAAAAAAATTACCTGGAAAAATAAACATGACAATGTAACACCTCAAATGACTTAATGTTTGCCCTACTTCTGTCCAGGTTAAAGAAGAAGTTGGTGATGTAACCATCCTCATTAACAATGCTGGAGTCGTGACAGGGAAACTGTTTCTCAACACTCCAGATGAAATGGTGGAAAGATCATTTCTTGTAAATGCCTTATCTCATTTCTGGGTAAATCTTCATTCTTTTTTGTTTTCTTTTGTTTATAAGTATGAAAACTCCATGTATTTCCGTAAACAACTATTCATTTATCTGTAAATACTCCTTCTGTGAACTTCCCATTCATAGACTACCGGCCTCTCATGCGGGTTTCACCTTACCACACACTCAGAGTAGCTTTTCCTGTTCCTGCCCTCTTCCAAACTCTCAGCGTAGGGCCCTTCCCTCTCTCCTCTCTAGTTTGGTCCCAAGATGTATTAGGCTATTAGGAAATCTTCCTACCAAAATACAAACAGAATGTGACAGCCATTCTACAGAAGAGATTTAATTTGGTCATGAGCAAAAGAGGAGCTTATGCAGAAAGAAACTGGCTGTTTTTAGAGTCATGGTTTATATGTATTTATGACTGGGCATCATAACAAAGGAAATAAGCTCTTACTGTGTCACAGGCACTGCTCTGAGTTCTTTTCCTGCACATGGCAGCCATGGCACCATTTTCTTTTCTTTTTTTAATATATATCTTTATTGATTTCAGAGAGGGGAAAGGAGAAGGAAAGAGGGATAGAAACATCAATGATGAGAGAGTCATTGATCGGCTGCCTCCTACATGGCCCCCCACTGAGGATCGAGCCCAAACCCAGGCACGTGCCCTGACTGGGAATCAAACCGCGATCTCCTGGATCCTAGGTCAACACTCAACCACTGAGTCACACCAGCTGGGCAATGGTGTCATTTTCATGTTCATTTTACAAATAAGAAAATTGAGGCTCAGAGAGTTTAAACGACTCACCCAAGGTCCTGCAACTGCTAAGTAATGGTCCAAACTTACAAAAGGAAGAAGCAAGAGAGAGAAAGGAAAGACTATTTACGGAAGGAGAATTAGTAAATTTATTACTCAGGCGTGTCTTTCTTGGGACCTAGATAGTCTAGACCAGTGCTGTTCAGTAGAACATCTGTGATAATGGAAAGGTTCTTTTTCTGTGCTCCCCAAAATGGTAGCCACCAGTCACCCACAACTATTGAGCACTTGAAATATGGTTGGTGGGACTTAGGAACTAAATTCTTAATTTTGTGTAATTTGATGTATTTAAATGCATACTTAAATAGCTACATAGGCCTAGAGGCTACCATCTTGGACAACATGACTCTAAAGAATGAATAGGAGGCTGAAGGAGATTTGCGTTACCAAGGGCGTTTCCACCAAGAGGGCTTATACTTGAGGCTGTGATAAATGCACACATACCAGCAGGGGTGGGGCATGTAGGAGGCACAGGTGGCTGGAACTGGGCCTTAGCAGTCATGGGGAAGGGAGGGAGAGGCAGGGCCTCAGTCCTCTGTAACTCTGAGGATAGAGCCTTGGAATGGGTTTGTTTTAGCGTCCCAGGCTACCCTTTCTTTCCACTCAATGTTTGTATACTCACTATCTAAGGTCCTCAGAATTAATCCCTTGACCTTCTTTCTTGATCACTGGAAAGCCCCATGGAGCCCAGCAAGCCTTTGTCAACCAATATTTAGTGAGAACCTAGCACAGTGCTTAACACACAATAAGTATTGCATAAATATTTGGGAAACCGCTGATATCTTTCCCTCTCCCACCCCACCTAAAATTTCTGTGGGAAGAGGAACTATCATCTTGGCGAATGGAGCTATGGGGTACCCATATCTAATCATACCACAAATATAGAAGCCATCCTTGATTCCTCCATTGCCTTAATGCCAACATCCTTGGCTCTCCCTACCAAACATGCTCAAGTGCACTCATTTTTCTCCTCTGCTGCTAGCCCTGGCCCAAGACATTGTTATCTTTTGCCATCCTCTCAACATGGCCTCCATCCTCCACACTGTGCTTTCTAACCTGTCTTCAGACAGGAACAAAGTGACCTTTAACCAGTTCATCTCACTCCCCTGCTCCAAATGTTCAGAGCACTTGGAATAACATACAGTTACCTATTACAGCCTGAAGGCCCCCACACGGTGTGGCAATATCCTCCCACATCTCTTGCCCACTTCTCGTTTTCTCTACTTTCTGCTCACTTTCTCTACTCCAACGATCCTGAAAAGACCCTGAGCACATCAAGCTCTTATATATCTGAGGGTCTTTGTCAAGCTGTTCTCTCTGACAAGAAGGTGGCTCCTTCTCATCCTTCAGCCCTCATGTAGTCTCTGAACTTTATATTGTGTGTTTTAGTCTGTTTGGCTTAATTCACTTACATAGTTAACAAAAATGTATTAATAAACATATGCATTTATTTTGCTTATTAATTTTAATATGCATTAATATATATGATCTGAAACAAAATATACATATAGCTATGTGACAATATCATGGCTAGCTTTCAATCATAACTTTAAAATATTATTAACTTTATCATCATATTAGAAGATATAGTATATACCATGTTAAGCTTGCCTTCTCAATTCAAGCGTTATAAAAACAAGCAAAAATTGTGCTAGCTTACTCCATACTGTGCTCCATGAATTTTAATTTTTAAAAAAATTTTACGATAACCAAAGATTTCTCATAAATTTACCCAAATTGATATTACCCTAAAGTCTTAAAGTTACTTAACTTGATATACAGAGTGGCAAAGTCACTAGAAATATTAAAAGGTTGTCAAACAGATGACATGGAAAAATTGTAAAAGACAGTGCAAGTGGAGTAACTAAGTCCAAACAACTGACAGAATTGTCTGAAGTTCAAAAACACCAATCCTTTCTTTTTACAATGAAGTTATCACTTATTGTAATTCAGTTTAACTAAACACATATTTATATTCATCATAAACTGAAATATTTTATGGAAACTAACTTATTTGACCCGTAACCAATGTGAAAAAAAATTAGGAAGTTCACTAATTAGGCTTTTCCATGAGAAAAGCCAAGTCTTACATCAAATTCAATAAAATAAAGCAAATCTGATGCTTTTTTGCATTATATTCACATGTGATAAAATCAGGGAAAATAGATATAGTTGTTTATCTAAAAAGTCTCATTAGTTCACAGATTTACTTTGATTATGAATAATGTATAAGCCTGGATTGATATATAATTCCTTATTAAATCCCCTGGTTAAAAACATGTTTTACAAATTTCATTAATCGCTCACTGAACAATTAATACCTGTATAGTGAGAACAAATGATGGGTTTCTACGATGAATTCATCTTCTAGAATGTCCTAAAATGTCCTCACTGGTACACAGTGCAACAAACAGAAACAGACCTTGAAATACCTAGTCACTTTTTCTCTGTGAAGGAAAACTTTTCTCAGCTGGACACATAAAACTGGTACTAGCCTTAGCTCAAATGCAAATAAGCATACAGATACATTTGGAGGAGCTGGGGGCAGGGGGGAGAAGGGACACCTTGAGGGAAAAAACAAACAAAACTGAACTCTTGCAAGTGATTAGATCCCTGTGAGTAGATAACTGCTTACCCTGATCCTTTTACATTTCTCCAGTGTTCAGCCATGTGACAGACTGCTATGAGCCACTATTTTCTCTCCCTTTCATCTAGGGAGTTTCATTGCCTCAACTCATGAAATTCCTTATTAAAAGTAACACTGAGCCCTGGCCTGTTTGGCTCAGTGGTTAGAGCATCAGCCTGCAGACCAAAGGGTAGCAGGTTCAATCCCTGGCCCTGATCAACGTATGGGAGGCAACCAGTCACATCAATGTTTCTCTCTCTCCCTTCGCCTTCCTCTCTCTGCAAAAATCAATTAAAAATGTTTTGAAAATGACATAATCATATCAATAGATGCATAAAAAGCATCCAGTACACATTTATGAAAAAATTTCTAAGCAAACTGGGGATAAAGTGAATATACCTCAATTTAGATGACAAATCAACAACCAACACCATATTCAATGAGCAAAAACTAGGTGTTTCTATTATGATCAAGAACAAGACAGAGGAAAGATTAAAGATGGCAGTGGAATGAGTGGAAGCTACACTGACACTCTCCCAGAGCCAAACTGGAATTACAACCAAAATATAGAAAGACCATCCTGAATAATCAACTGGAGACAAGACGGAGAGCATCCTCATAACCCAAGAGGAAAGGGGGAGACCGCATAGAGACTAGTAGTATGTGTGGAGATTCAAGAGGGCTGGCTGGGCTCTCACAGGCAGCAGCTAAACATTGAAAGGAATATCTCAGTTGTGGGGGGTTCCCACTGAGAATTCTGGGGCCTAAACCCCAAGCTGGGGTTGCCAGCCAAGATCATGAGAACTGAGAAATGTACCCACATAACACCTGGCTGTGAAAAGCAACAGGGTTTCTTTCTGNACTGACACACACCTTCAAGGCTATTGCTCAGCTTCACCTTAATTGAAAGTTTACAAACTTTCACACGTTTCTAATGATTCTGCACCTGAACCTCCAGTCCTTCAAGTCCCAGCTAACCACTCTGGAGATGCCCTCTGAAGCCCAGGCTGGATTTTTCACACGCTTGTGCTGAAAGACAATAATAACCAGCTCTTGGCATTTCCAACTGGTCTGTAGTAGTGACTGATGTAACAATATTTTTAATTTTTAATTTTTGAAAAAGAGGTCGTCACCACAAGAGAAAGACATATAAAATGTTACAGCACTCGAACAGGAAATGTCAAAAAAGGCCGATTGTCTGCATCTAAGCAGAAACTCAACCAATCAATTCAATAATTCTGGAACAAGGTTAGTCAGACACAAAGACCTTGAAAGCAAAGGTAACATTGTTTGAACTAGTAGCTGCTACCCGCTCTATTGGGTCCTTGTAGGTAAACACATCTCAGCAGACTCTGCAAAACTCTTGACACCAAATTATGACATCATTAAAATTATAAATCTCATAGAAATAGATGGGTGAGCATTGTCTGTCAAGGTTTAACTTAATTCATTTATGGGAGAATCAGCAGAATAACGCAGCTGGTAAGTTGATGATATGAGGAATTTGAATTTGTATAGTCAATGACAAAGAATGCTGAAATGAGATCACTGAACTCTTACTTCTGGGATTATCTTTTATATTAGACCAAAAAATTATACCTATTAGTTTTATACAAGTTACAGGATTTTACAGGATTGTGAAACATCTGGGTCCCAATAATTAGTCCAAGTTACGTTGCCAAGAGAGTTAGATAAACCTCAGGCAAGATTATTAGAAAATGTTCTACTATGCTGAAAATCACACAATCATCTCTTTGTTTTATTTCCAAGTTTTGGATTATTGTTTCTAAACAGAGGTTTGATTAAAAAGTCCCAGTATCAGAGGTAACGAGAATGGAGAAGTTCCTTGAGAGAACCTAAGGAGCACAGAGTAAGAGAATTGGAACTTTTTCATGGCATGGTATCTCAGGACACTGAATTAATATCTTAGTTGAAGATGAATAAGTGAACTTTACCAAAATAGCTAAACGTATATCTAAGTCATAGTAGACAATTGCAAAGCACTTTATTTATCAGACTGTGTTTTCCTTGCATTGAAATTCACCTCCAAGCAGTTTTTCCCATGCTGTCAATCCATCAGCCTGAAGAGGAATCTTGTTTATTGTAAAGCCAGGAAGGTGAAGGTGATTAAATTTTAATTCAAATTGTGGAAAACAGCACAGAAGGGCTCAGCATATTAGAAAAATTAGGTTTTAAGGAGGTTTTTTTAAGAAAATTATAAATGTAAAATGTTGATTTAATTTAATTGGCATAGTTAACTTAAAAGGAAAAACAAGTCAAATAGTATTTCTTATAGATTAACACATAACAAATTTTAAGATCCTTAAGAAAGGTGAGTACATGGTACCAGTGGCTATTTTGCACTGCCACAGGATTTAACACATCATAAGTGTTAAATAAATATTTATTAAGTGAATCTGTAAATTCATCAAATACATAAATACATTCATTTATTTTATTTGCTCAAAAAAATAATAAATGAATGAAATATTGACACAGTATATTTATATCTTCCAGACATGTAAGGCCTTCCTTCCTGCCATGGTTAAAGCTGACCATGGTCACTTGGTCTGTATTTCAAGTGCAGCAGGATTAGTTGGCATTAATAGACTAACAGGTGAGTGCTTTATTTAACCATGCATCTTCTTTATATTACCCAGTCCATAGCACCCAGAAATTAGGACTCTTTCAAAGTATAAACCTGCACCAAGGGGAAATCTCTGGTACATTTATCTCTATTTATAACACCAGCATTACTTGCTATTTTCCTGTTTTAAATGGCAGAGATAAGGGGAGATATTTTCTTCTTTAAAAAAAAGAGAGAGAGAGAGAAGAGTGTGCCTCTTGGCTTATTAGTCTTCTTGGGTTAAGAGAAACTGAAATAATTTCCATCTTGTTTTGAGGTATAGAGTATGGAGATACAGGAGTAGAGTGGCCACACACACACACACACACACACAGTGATGCTTTATCCCCAAGGCTAAATCATAGAAGAGATAAAAGAGTTTCAATTTTTAAAATAATTATAAAAATTAACTTGTCAAATTTTATTACTAACAGCTCTTTACTTTGTTTTAGATTATTGTTCAAGCAAATTTGCAGCTTTTGGCCTTGCAGAGTCTCTCTACTATGAATTAAAACTAATAATCAAAAGTAAAGTTAAAACCACCATTGTTTGCCCATATTTCATCAAAACTGGAATGTTTGATGGTGTTACAGCCAAGTAAGTGATCCCTTAAAGTAATCTTTGCTCTTATAATAATCTTCCAGTGTATGTCAATTATTTTTCCATTTTGAAGCTTTGAAGTATGGACAGTAAAACACAAGAAATAATTTGAATGCCTGATTTTGTAGGAGAAAAAAATTCAATATGTATTAAGTTAATGCATTTATTTAATTTAAAGATTTTATGGTTATAAAATTTCTGGTATAGTGAAAACTTAAACCTAAATTGCTAATCAGAATAATATAACAAAAAATTGGTAGTGAGAAGTAGGCCAAAACATTGAGACACCCACGCTTGGAGACAGAGAAAGGCTTATTCAATTTGGCTAGAGCAAGATCTCTCAAATCCATCTCTCTCAAAAAGAGAAAGTATGGAGTTTTTATGGCGCTGGGGAGTAAGGGAGGGAGAGTTCCAGAGATCTGAGAGAGAAGCCTGTGTTTCTTGAGTCACAGAGAACACTTTCGTATCAGACTCCCGGGTTTCAGCAGCCAACACAGCTACCTTGAAGACGTCCTTTCCTTCTGCAAAACAAACTCACAAATTCTCCTGGAGGCCCTGAAGTTATCCTCTTGCTTGACAAAGAGATGCCACATTAGCAACTTATGACTGCATTCATCAAAACAGAAGGAGCTGAACAGGAAGATGGGTTACCACGTAAACAAAGGCCTAATTAAGAATTAACTTATTTAATTCTAAAAAATAGTAGGGGCATTCAAATCACAAAGGGCTTGGCTACAAGGGAGCAAACTGGAGAGTAAAGTCAGATGTAAAGTCAGATGATGTTAGAAACTATAGGTACGTTTTTCTTCCCAGAGGAACCATTTAACCTCAAAACAAAAAGGGCCTTTCAAAGTGAGAGGGGACAAGCATTCACTTGAGATCAAAGAAGAGCAGGCACTGATTAAGGCAGAAGATCTCATAGTGTTCTGATTAGGAGACAACGCAAAGGGCATTCGTGAGAAGGGGAAGGGGAACATTACATCAATAGGAGGAAGGCGTTTCTATTGGTGCAGAAAACATAACATAGTGATGTTTATTCTAAAGAATGTTTTTAATTTTCAGTCCAGTAGCAATCAGTACAGTAGTCATAATATCTGCTTTCTTGTTGTCTTTCAAACAGTTCCTTGGGACATAAGGCGCCTGTAGGCCTTTTCCGAAGGTTATTTTGCCCTGTTTTAACTTTCCAAAGGTTTGAAGCATGAGATGTGCAAGGCAGGTCCTCTGGGATGGCAGCTTTGGCTCCATTTTAAAGTGGCTCCAGTTTTTATTTTTTTACATTGTTAACCATTTGCCAGGACTGTTTATCATACACTTCTACTTTTGTTTCATCAAAACTCTTCATAATAAATATTGTTAAATAAAAATAAGAAATCTATATGAGCTGAAGGAATGGCCATAAAGGAAAAATATGGTATTAATGGGAATAAACTTCTAGAAAATTTGAAAGAAGGGTATCTACTACAGAAATTTAAACAGGAGAGTTAGAAAGCTCTGGAATCAAGCAGATAAGACAGTATATCTGTTCAGAAAGGACAGCCGTAAATGGCAGAAAGAATTCCAAGTGATGAAAGCAAAATGAGATCTTCGCATTTGTGTTACGGAACTAAAGGGGTTTGTCACCTGCGTGAATCAAAGCCCAATCAGATGTGAACAGGATTTTGCAGCCAAAAAGTAAAGGTTTATTTTTAAGGACATAGCACCAAATCTGGAATCACAGGTGAGCTTATACTCAAAGACCTGGCTTCCCCTATGGCTTCTAGGGGGTGGGTTATCTAGGGGGAAAATCATTAATCATGGTGGAGTTCGGGTTGTGATCTCTATTAATTAGCCGATGCTAGGGTAGGGAATAGTTGATTATTGCATCTGGGCCTGATGTCAGCCATGGTGTCACTCTGTCTGGTTTTGTGAGGGTGTGGTCTTTGTGGTCGTTCCCCATTCCTGGGTCTCGAGCTGCACCACAGCTGAGGCCTAGATGTTCCCTAGTTTGACTGAAACTCTGTCTCTGGTCAACAGACCTGAGGCTTTGTTCCTAAAATGATCTGATGGTGACCCTCATTGTCCTGAGGGCTTAATGATTAAGGGAGTGGATGTGCAAGGGATGAGGCAGGGTGCTGGATAAGGCCAGTTTTCATCAAAAGAAAAGAGAAGAGGGAAGGTCGTATCAAAGAAATGAAGTTCCTGTGCAGTTACATTTGCTAAGGATATTTTCTGATAACATGACATTAGCTTCTCCTGAACAGTAAAAATTGTCAAGACTACAGAATGAATGTGACCAGCCAAGAGGAGGTAGTGTGGTAGCCAAGGAAGGCAGTGATGTTAAATGATGACTTGTAAACTTGGAGTTTTTACGTATATAAAAGCTAAAAGCAAAATCTCAGGAAAAGAAAGCTTTACTAGTAATGCTAAAATGGCGGGGGGTGAAAGAAACAATGATGTATAGATTATATTTTTCCATCCTTATTGAGATATAATTGACATGTAACATTGTGTAAATTTAAGATTTACAAACGTATTGATTTGATGCATTTATATATCGCGAAGTGATCACCACCATAGCTTTAGCTGACACCTAATTACCATTTCTTTTTTGTGGTGAGAACATTTAAGATCTACTCCCTTAGCAACATTCAAGTATATAAACCATGCTGTACATTAGATTCCCCAGAACTTGGTAATCTTATAACTGGAAGTTTATACCCTTTAATCAACATCTCCCCATTTCCCCCACCCCCAGCCTCTGTTTCTCTGACTTTGGCTTTTTTAGATTCCACATATAAGTGATATCATACAGTATCCATCCTTCTCTGTCTGATTATTTCACTTTGCATAATGTCATAAGGTTCATCTGAGTTGTCACAAACAGCAAGATTTCCTTCTTTCCCATGGCTGATATATATACCTATACCTATATCTTTATCTATTCATCAGTTGATAGACAGTTGGCTCTTCCCATATCTTGACTAGTGTAAATAGCACTACAATGAACATGGAGAGCATAGATCTCTATGAGATCCTGATTTTTATTCTTTTGGATATATACCCAGAAATGGGATTCCTGGATCATATGGTAGTTCTATTCTTAATTTTTTGAGGAACCTCCATATAGTTTTCCATAGTGGTTGAACCAATTACAGCCCCACCAGAAGTACACAAGGGCTCCCTTTTTCTCCGCAACCTTTCTAACACTTGTTATCCCTGGTCTTTTTTGTAATAGCCATTCTAACAGCTGTGAGGTGATATCTCATTGTGGTTTTGCTTTGTATTTCCCTAATGATTAGTGATGTTGAGCACTTTTTCATGTACATGTTGGTCATTTGTATGTTTTCTTTGGAAAACAGTCTTTTAATAAGTGGTAGAGCCCTTTAGGACACAGTTCTAGGGAACTTTTAGGAGTATAAAATATAAAGACTAATTACCAACATTCAATTATGGGTAGCTGATCAGATTTCAAGAATCAGCTGAGATAACAGAATTTCTTAAGGAAGTGCAGTTCAAGTAATAAACATAATATAAAAGTATAAAAATGTCAAAGTAATGTCTTTTGGGAGCTTTATTCATATGCTTATCCCATTTCAACTTAAATCGATTTCACCAACATCTAAATTTGCTTAATGTTATAAAATGCTCTGCCTGAAATAGACATATTACACACGCTCAAGATTTTTTTTTTATTATTAAGAAGCAATTTTGCTTTTTAATAATAACAATTACTTGATGTTTAGAGCAAGGAAGAGGGAAGAAAAATACCAAAAATAAAAAATCTAAAAGCAATTTCTTTTATAAGTCCAGACTATAATAGAGCAGAAATCAATAAAGGCAGTGATTTCATTCTAGGAAATTAAACATATTATCACTGGTCCCGGTATTGGTCATGAGAGAAAAGACAGGGCAGTTCCTAACATTTATGTTGTTTGAATATTTATAGCTATTGTTATAACTCCGTATCAGAAATTTAATAATTAGTGCTCATGATGACAACAAAAAATAACAGTCTGATTATACAGCTCTTTTATTTTCATTACAGGCTTCCATTTCTGTTCCCTCTACTGGAGCAGGAGTATGTGGCCCAAAAAATTATAACTGCTATTTTAGAGGAACAGCTTTACTTAATGCTGCCTAAAATGTTGTATGTTGCATTGCTTTTAAAACAGTAAGTTAACAATGACGTCTCTATCCTTTTGGTTATTTGTGAACAAATTGTCCTCTGTCTTCAAGGAACTAAAGCCATCAATGGTTCTCAGCCTCAGGTGTACATTGGAATCACCTGGGGAACATTTAAAATTGATGCCTGCGCCCTATCCCAAGGAATTCTGCTTTAATCTGTGTGTGTGTTTTCTCGCTTCTGCTACCATTTGTTAGCCTAGTAAGTAAGGATGTAAGAGCCTTTCCACAGAGCTCAGAGAGTATAATACATGGATAAGCCGTGGCCTGAGCGTTGGGGTTTTTCCAGGCTCTCAGGACGTAGGATGGTGCGCAGAGCGGTGACACAGCAGGCCTCAGGACAGCATACTTTGTGCAATTCAAAAGTAATCTTTGCAAAGAAATCTCTTTGACGCCTCTAAAAGGATTATGACTTTTTTTCCTCTGCTTTTTCCTAGAATATTATCTCCAAACATAGCAACTGCCTTTGCTGAGTACCTTGGCCTGAATACTTGCATGGCCAATTTCAGAGTGAAACAGGAAGCAAATGAAGTTCAGACTGAAACTGAGAAGGAACACCAAAGCTGAAGCCTCAGATGTGATAATAAAATAAAATGTTATGGGAATAGGCTATCCAGAACTCCTCCTAATGCTTAAATCATTCCACGTTACCAAGGATTACTAATACACTTAAAAGTGCCACCTTATGCCCAGGACATGGTTTACACACTCACAATTTTTCTAGCCATTCAAATTATGTATGCAGTTTTTCCTATCATTTTAAAATTTGGTAAGTAATGTATTTATAAAAGCATATTAATGCAAATTGACCCTAATTTAATTTTTTTATTGGTGACACGGATGTCCCTCATTTTCCCCTAATTTAATT